CCTCCCTCCCTCCCTCCCTCCCTCCCTCCTTCCTCCCCTCCCTCCCTCCCTCCCTGCCCCTCCCCCCTCCCTCCCTCCCTCCCTCCTCCCTCCCTCCCTCCCTCCCTTTCTCCCTGCCCCTCCCTCCTCCTCTCCTCCTCCTCCCTCCTCCTCTCCTCCTCCTCCTCCTCCCCTCCTCCTCCTCTCTTCTTCTTATTATTATTCTTCCTCGTCGTATTATTATTATTATTATTATTCGTCTTATTCGTCTTAGTAATATTATTCTTGTTATTCTTAGTATTGCCATTATTCGTCTTATTCGTAGTATTCGTATTAGTCTCATTATTATTATTATTATTCTTATTAGTATTCTTATTCATATTAGTAGTGTTACTACTATAAAAACAATTCGTAATATTATTAGTACTAATATGATTAGTATGATTATTATCATTACTAGTAGGATGAGTGTGATTATTATTATTAGTATTAGTATTCGTATTAGTATTAGTAGTAGTATAAGTATTATTATTAGTGTTATTAGTATTAGTATCATTATTATTATGATTAGTATAAGTATTAGTAGAATTATTATCCTCAGTATTATTATTATTAATCGTATTATTAGTATTGTTGTTGTATGTTATTCTCCTCCACCTCCTCCACGTCCTCCTCAACCTCCTCCTCCTCCTCGTCCTCTTCCTCTTCCTCTTCCTCCTCCTCCTTCTCCCTCCTCCCTCCTCCCTCCTCCCTCCTCCCTCCTCCCTCCTCCCTCCTCCCTCCTCCCTCCTCCCCTCCCTCCCTCCTCCCTCCTCCTCCTCCTCCTTCCTCCTCCTCCCTCCTCCGTTCCTCCTCCTCCTCCCCTCCTCCTCCTCCTCCTCCTCCCCCTCCTCCTCCTCCTCCTCCTCCTCCTCCTCCTTCTCCTCACCTCCTCCTCCCTCACTTCCTCCCTCCCTCCCTTTTCCTCCCTTCTCATTCCTCCCTCCATCCCTCCTCCCTCCTCATTCCTCCCTCCCTTCCTCCCTCCTCCCTCCTCTCTCCTCCACCTCCTTCTCCCCTCCTCCTCCTCCTCCCCCTCCTCCTCCTCCTCCTCCTCCTCCTGATTATTATCCTTCTTCTTGTTCTCCTCCTCCTCCTCCTCCCTCCTCCCTCCTCCCCCTCCCTCCTCCCCTCCCTCCTCCCTCCCTCCTCCTCATCCTGCTCCTTCTGCTCCTCCTCCTCCTCCTCCTCCTCCTCCTCCTCCTCCTCCCCCTGCTCCTCCTCCTCCTCCTCTCCCTCCCTCCCTCCCTCCTCCCTCCCTCCTCCCTCCCTTCTCCTCCCTTCTCAATTCCTCCTCCCTCCTCTCCTCCCTCCCCCTCTTCCATGTTTCTCTTCCTCTTTCCTCTTTCCACCTTCCTCCTCCTCTCCTCCCCCCTTCTCACGTCCCTCCTCCTCTCTTCCTCCTCCCTCCCTTCTCCCTCCCTCCTCCCTCGGTCCTCCCTCGGTCCCCCCTCCCTCCTCCCCCCTCCCTCTTCCCTCCTCCCTCCCCCCTCCTCGCGGCGGCCCGCGCGGGGGGTTCTTCCCCAGCGCGTTGCCTCCGTCTCGAGCCGAGCGCGGCGGCGGCGGGGGGAGGGGTAGCCGACCGGAGGCGCCGCGCCCGTGGTCCCTCGGGTCTCCACCACTTCTGAGGACTGTTTATCCGACCCCTATCCCCATGGACTTGGCCTGGGCCCCGCTGGCCGATTGGCCCCCCTAGATGAGGATACAGGGTGTTTCCTTCGGTCTTCGAAGGGTCGGAGGTTGGGGGGTGAGATCGCAATGAAACGGAGACCCCCCACCAGGAAATCGGCTTCGGTTTCGTGTTCGTGTCGTGCGTGCGGGCGAGCCGAAGCTGCGCGTGATCCTCCTGTAACTAGGCCGAAGTAGGAGCGAAAGTCCGTTTCCGTCCGCCAGTGGCCAAAAGGTGTCCCAGATGGGCCGGGCGGTGTCCCGGGTGTCCCGGGTGTCAGTAGGAGCGAAAGTCCGTTTCCGTCCGCCGGTGGCCGGGAGGTGTCCCAGTTGGGCCGGGCGGTGTCCCGGGTGTCCCGGGCGTCCCGGCGCTAACGCATGTTGCTAATTTTGTAATTCATGTGTTTCGGCGCCTGCGGCGGGCTTTCTTATATCCAATCCAGCTTATCTTCTCCAATCCATCTTGTCAAATCCAATCCATCGTATCTTATCCAATCCATATTGCCCCATCTTATCTTATCCCACCCATGCCAATCCATCCAACCCAATCCATCAATTCACTTGTTTCTGCGCCTGCGGCGGGCCAATCCGATCCATCATATCATATCCAATATGTTTCTTCCAATCCAACCCATCTTATCCAAACCATCTTATCCCATTCAATCCAACCCACCCAACCCAATCCATCAAATTATTTTTGTCGGCGCCTGCGACGGGCTTTCTTATCAAATCCAGCTTATGTGATCAAATCCATCTTGTCAAATCCAATCCATCTTATCTTATCCAACCCATACTGTCCCATCTTATCGTATCCCACCCCAAGCCAATCCATCCAACCCAATCCACCAATTCACGTGTTTCTGCGCCCAAGGGCGGCCAATCCAATCCATCTTATCTTATCCAATACATGTATTCCAATCCAACCCATCTTATCTTATCCAATCCATCTTATCCCATCCAATCCAATCCACCCAACCCAATCCATCAATTCATTTTTGTCGGCGCCTGGGCGCGATCGCGGCAGACTGGGAGGGCACATCCCGAGAGGGCACACCCCGAGAGGGCGAGAGAGGGAGAGAGAAAGACAGAGAGAGAGACAGAGAGAGAGAGACATAGAGAAAGAGAGAGATGAGATCAAGGTGACAGGCTGGAGGTCAGTCAGGGTGGGCATTTCATCTCAATCCCCCCCAATCTCCTTATCGCCCGCAGGGCGGTCGTATAGGTATAACCCGGTGACCATCGCATTTTTCAGTTGAAGACTCGGGGGCTCGCATCCTTCTTGTTTACAACGTGGAAAATGACATGTCACCACACTGGGTTGTTGGGCACCGATCTACAACAACAGCGGCTCCTAGCTGATACTTCCTCACAACGTATTCCAAAATCGCACTCTCGCGTGGGAAATCCCCGCAGTGTATTCAGACGCCGCGTCCTCGACTTACACACGCACACACAACCCCAAACAGACCACACACACACACACACACACGGCACGCGCACGCGCACGCGCACGCGCACGCGCACGCGCACGCGCACACACAGTCGCACGCGCACGCGCACGCGCACACACACACACACTCACACACACACACACATACACACGCACCCCCCTCACACACACACACACACACCGCACGCGCACGCGCACGCGCACGCGCACGCGCACGCGCACGCGGACGCGGACGCGGACGCGGACGCGGACGCGGACGCGGACGCGGACGCGCGCGCGCACACACACACACACACACCACACACACAAGAACATCGATTTGGCTTCTCTCACGATTTACTCGGGATACTCAGGAATCTCGGTTTCGATTGGGACTCTCTCGCGATTCATGCAGGACTCACGCTTCAGCAACCCGCCTGCTCGACCTGCCGCCTGGGCCCACGTTTCCGACCCGCCCTTTAGGGTCTGCTCGCCCGTTCTGCCCGTCGGGTGCTACCACGTGCTTTCTGCTCCTAGCCCCCATGCTGCTAAATTCTCTCGTGTTCCATCCTTCTCCCTCCCCCTTCCATCTTCTCGTCCGCTTTTTAGGAGCTACGCTGAATGCGCGTGACTGGTAAGGAATATATACCACAAGGGGGTGCGATCGAAGACGAAGAGGCCGGGTACCGAGGGCTCGGGATATACAGCTGAGTGGCACGCGAGCTGATAGCGGCGAGCAGTCTTGAAATGAGTGTTCATATGAAATCTCATTTCGAAAGGATAACTATTGTTGATCCCCCTCCAGTGCACCTTGTGTTTTTGCAGTGCGAGGCTCCCTCTGGGGCTCGCACCTTGGCTTCCACAAGGGAAAACCTTGAGCCCCAGAATGGGCCCCTGGTCCCCGAGCTGCAACAGCAATGGCTCCCGTTTGATGCTTCTTCATGCTCCTTCAATGGCTCTCTCACGCTGGACTTCCTCACAGTTTACGCAGGGATCGCGCTCTCGCGTGGGAGCTCCTATCAATACATTGAGACGGCGCTCGGCACTGGGGAATCGCGCTCTCGACCTGGCATTCCTCACGATTCACTCAAGAATCGCGATTTCACTCGAAACTTCCTTGGGACTCATGCAAGGCTCACGCTTCAACGACCTGCCCGCTCGACCCGGCCGTCTGGGCCCGCCCGCCCGTCCCGCCCGTTGGGGTCCGCTGGCCCGACCCGCCCGTCTGGTTCAGCCGCTTGCTTTCGTGCTCCGAATCTCCCTCCTGCTAATTTCTCTCGTGCTCCATCCTTCTCCCTCCCCCTTGTCTCCTGCCTTCTCCCTCCCCTCCCGTGTTTTAGGGGCCGCGCCAGCTGCACGTGGCACGTAAGGAAGATATCCCTCCAGGGGAATACGATCGAAGACGAAAAAGGCGGGTCATCGAGGGCTCATGGTATACATGCTGAATGACACGCGAGCAGGTAGGAACGACCAATCAAAAAATGATCGTTGTTGTTGCCATCGCCTCCCCCGCGACCCACCCGCGACCCACCCGCGACCCACCCGCGACCTATCCGCGACCCACCCGCGACCCACCCGCGACCTATCCGCGCCCTCCCCCTCACTCTTATCCTCAAATGCGACGGGCTACGGTATAAACTCCCGCCTCGGAGCTATTACTTCTCGAAGATCAAGCATGGATGCTTTCGGAAGGTGTGGGCCCTTGTGGGGAGCTCTGGAGGCCCGATTACGGCGAGGGCGGTGGGGCGGGGAGGGGCCTGGGCCCCGCCTCTGCAGGGAAAGTACTCAGAAAGGGGACAAGGGGGGGGGATCTCCCAGGACAGCACCGAGGGCGGCGGAGGCAAAGGGAGGCGCGCGACTTGGGATGCCAAAGCGAGCGGGCGGCCTTCTGCTTGCCGAACTCGGTGGAGGCCACCGGCGTGGGCTCGACCACGTTCTTCGGCCCGCTGGGGCCCTGCACGAGGCAGCCTCCCCCCCCCTTTTGCGCGAGCAAAACAATGACAACGACAACGACGGGGAAAGAGGCGGAGCGGGAGGGCGAAGGACGGCGAGGAAGCGGGAAAAATGAATAACCTGGCAACACACAACAACCCGACCTCGGGGCACTGTCACCTTGTGCCAACTGAAGGTCTTGCAGAATACGCATTATACATACATTATATATATACGTATATAGGTGTATGTATACATACATATGGGTACATACATCTATATATATATATATATATATATATACGTGCATATGTATGTATGAATTGCCATGTAGCGCACGGCGGGACGCCAAACTTCCAAAGCGCAAGCTTGAAGCTTCAGCTTTAAGCTTCCGCTGGATGCTTCAGATCTGGTCTGGCTGGTCTGGTTGGACTGGTCTAAGCTTTGTCCTGAATCCTTAGCTTAGGATTTGGGCGAGAGTGGTTTAGGGGACCTGGTTAGTCTGGTTTGAGCTGAGTCTTGAAGCCTTAGCCTCGGATTCGGGCGCGCGGGAAGTTCTAGGGAGGCAACGTCAACCACTACGACCACCGACTACAGTCATTTTGCATTGCATGTGTCGCGCTTAGGAACAGTTGTTCTGCATTGCAGCTTGCGTTGTAGCATCTGGTCTTTCTGGTCTGGTTGGTCTGGTTTGAGCTTCGTGCTGAAGCTTTAGCTTCGGATTCGGGGGAGAGTGGTTTAGGGGAGGTCCAGGGAAGCAGCGCCAACCACTACGACCAAAAAAGATGCGTTTGCAGTACAATGGTTGTTGTGCTGCTTTGTTTTTTCATTGCGAAGTGTGTTGCATCTGGTCTGGCTAGTCTGGTTGGTCTGGTTCAAACTTGATGCCGGAAGCGTAGCTTAGGATCTGGGCGAGTGGGGAGGTCCAGGAGGGCAGCGCCAACCACTACTAACGACCATCGTATCACAGTTTGGTTGCATTGCAATTGCTTTTGGTTTGCAGTGATTTTGCATTGGAGTTTGTGTTGCATCTGGTCTGGCGGGTGTGGTTGGTCTGGTGTGAGCTTAGTCCTGCAGCCTTAGCTCAGGACTCGGACGAAAGTGGTTTAGGGGACGTCAACGGATGCAGCGCCAACCACAACGACCACCGACAAAACAATTGCTCGTGCATTGCAATTTGTTTTGCATATGGTCTGGCTGGTCCGGTTGGTCTGGTTTGAGCTTAGTGCTGAAGCTTTAGCTTAGGATGTGTCTTCCGCGGTGCAGTTTTGTTTGCTTTGCAATTGGTTTGCCTTGCAGTGTGTTTGCATCTCGTCTGGCTGGTCTGATTTGTGCGCTTCGAGTTTAGTGCTGAAGCTTTAGCTTGTGTTTCGGGCGAGGGTGGTTTACGGCAGGTCGAGGGAAGCAGTGCCAACCACTACGACCACCGACAAACAGCTTCTCTGTGTGAATTGCAGCTGTTTGTTACTTTGCAACTTCTTTTGCGTTGCAACTTGTTTTTGTGCATCTGGTCTGGCGGGTCTGGCTCGTTTGGTTTGAGTTTAGTGCTTCAGCTTCAACTTAGGATTCGTGGGGGAGTGGTTTAGGGAAGGTCCAGGGAGGCAGCGCCCACCACTACGACCACCGAAAAGTTTGTTTGGCATTGCAGTTGCTTTCGATTTGCAAATTATTTTGCGTGGCAGTTTTTTGGCCTCTGGTCTGGCGGGTCTGGTTTGAGCTTAGAGCTGCAGCTTTCGCTTAAGATGTGAATATTGTTTGCGGTGTGTTCTGTTGCGTCGCATGTTTGTTTGCATCTGGTCTGGCTGGTCTGGTTGATTTGGTTGGTCTGGTCAATGTCTGGCTGGGCTGGTCCGAATTGAGTCTGGAACCGATCGAACACAAGCCGAATGCACAACGAGGTTGCGAGAAGGAGAGGGGACAAAACACAAGAGGCAGACAGAAGGCAGACCACGGATGAGCACGACGAGTATCATCACGATCGCGACGAGAAAAAAAAAAGATGACAACCAGGACGACGAAAGCTACGAAAACGAGGACTCAACCTGACCAGCCAGACCAACCAGACCAGCGCACGGCAAGACGCAAACCTTCAGCGTAGCAAACTAGAACCATCGCGCGCGCTTCGCGCGCGCTCAAATTCTAGCTAGCTTCTTGGGGCCTCCTCGGAGAATCCTGGTTTGCTTCTTGAAGTCGTCATGGGACCTTCTTGGCATGTCTTCGGAGGCCTCTTAGAAAGAGATTTGAAGCCTGTTGGGTGCTGTCTTGGCGCCTCTTGGAGCCTCTTTTGGGCTTCTTGGGGGCCTCTTGGGGCCTCTTGGGAGCCTCTTGGGGCCTCTTGGGGGTTTCCTGGGGGCATCTTGGGGCCTCTTGGGGGCCTCTAGGGGGGCGTCTTGGGGCGGAGAGCTTGATTTTTCAGTTCGCGTTCCCTCTCTCGTGCCCCTCTTGGGGCCTTCTTGGGACCCTCTTGCGCCGTCTTGGGCGGCTCTGGAGCCGTCTCGGGGCTCGAGCGGTTGTGGGGGCCTCTTGGGCGGTGCCTTAGCGCCGGAAACACGAAACAACGAGAATGCAAAAAAAAACTGTTAAAACAAAACAGGGAAATCAACGATTTTGCCCTCTCGGGGCGCTCTTGGGCGGCATCTTAAATAAAGGCATTTTGGGGCGTCTTGGGGGCATCCGGGGCAGTTTAAAACGCGTCGTGCGTCGCCGGAGACCCCTGGGCGGCGTCGTGGGGGTGTCTCGAGACCGCCTGAGGCCGCTGGGATTGCTGTCTGAAGGCTCCCCGGGGCGATTTCAGGCCTCCCAGAGGCGGGCCCGGGGCCCGGTCCTCACATTTGTGGTCGAGGTTCTGGCCCTCGGCCCCCGAGCCAGGTGCGCCGTTATATGTATAAAAATAAAACCATCGCGCGCGCGCTCAAGTTCTAGCTAGGCTAGACGGTCGAACTCTTAGGGCTTCCTGCTGGGCTTCCGGGAGCCCAGGGCTAGAAATGTTAGTTCGGCCCCCGCCTGGACCGCTGGGCTCTTGGGAACCTCTTTCCGGCCTCCTGGATGCTGCTTGAGTCAGCTTGGGGGCCTGTTGGGGGCCTCTTGGGCTCTCTTGGGAACCTCTTGGGGCTTCCTCGGAGCATCCAGGACTGCTTCTTGAAGTCGCCATGGGATTTTCTTGGCATGTCTTCGGGTGCCTCTTAGAAAAAGGTTTGAAGCCTTTTGGGTGCCGTCTTGGGGCCTCTTGGGGCCTCTATTGGGCTTCTTGGGGGCCTCTCGGGGCCTCTTGGGGGGCTCTTGGGGCTCCCCAGGGACCTCTTGAGGCCTCTTGGGGGCATCGCGGGGCGGAGAGCTTGATTTTTCAGATCGCGTTCCCTCTCTTGTGCCCCTCTCGGGGCCTCTTTGGGACTCTCTTGCGCCGTCTTGAGCGGCTCTGGGGCCGTCTCGGGGCTCTCTTGGGCCGTCTTGGGGCCCTCTTGGGCCGCCTGTTAACGGTTTGGGGAGCCTCTTGGGCGGTGCCTCAGCGCCGGAAACACGAAACAGCGAGAATACAACAAAAACGTTATAATCAACGATTTTGCCCTCTCGGGGCGCTCTTGGGCGGCATCTTGCAGGCTTGGGGCGTCTTGGGGGCCTCCGGGGCAATTCAAACCGCATCGCGCGGCCTCGTGGGGGCCTCTTGGGGCCTCTTCGGGGCTTCCTGGGGGCCTCTTGGGGCCTCTTGGGGGCACCGTGGGGCGGACAGCTTGATTTTTCATATCGCGCTCCCTCTCTTGAGCCCCTTACGGGGCCTTCTTGGGGCCCTCTTGCGCCGTCTTCGGCGGCTCCGGGGCCGTCTCGGGGCTCTCTTGGGCCGTCTCGGGGCCCTCTCGGGGGCCTCTTGGGCGGTGCTTTAGCGCGGAAGCGCGAAACAGCGATAATGCAAAAAATGTAAAAAATGCAGAAAGGAAAAAAAGAAATGCAATAAACAAATGGAAAAAACCAATGATAATCAACGATTTTGCCCTCTCGGGGCGCTCTTGGGCGGCATCCTAAAGGCCTCTTGGGGCATCTCGGGGGCCTCCGGGGCAATTTAAAACGCAGCGTGCGGCCTCTTAAAGATCTCGTGGGGCCTCTTCGGGGCTTCCTGGGGGCCTCTTGGGGGGCTCTTGGGGCTTCCCGGGGACCTCTCGAGGCCTCTCGGGGGCGTCGTGGGGCGGTGAGCTTGATTTGTCAGATCGCGTTCCCTCTCTTGGGCCCCTCTTGGGGCCCTCTTGCGCTGTCCCTTTTTCCCGGAAAGGGCTTAAGCCCAGGGTTCTCTTTTAGTAGGTAAACCTGTCCCCCGGTGCCTGCTTGAAGGAGGCCGGCGAATTTTTTCCCTGATAAATAACGAGGTCGAAGGAGGCCGGCGAATTTTTCCCTGATAAATAACGAGCCCGCGAATTAAAATTTGAGGATGTCTCGAGCGAAACGCTTGTTTTTGAGCGCCCGCGAATTAAAATTTGAGGATGTCTCGAGCGAAACGCTTGTTTTTCAGAATTTGTCGAGGATGTCTCGAGCGAAACGCTTGTTTTTCAGAATTTGTTTTTTCTACCCCCTAGCACGACACCCCAGCACGACCACACCCCAGCAGGACCCCAGCACGACCACACCCCAGCACGACCACACCCCAGCACCAGCACGACCACACCCCAGCACGACCCGATCGATAAGTCACAGGGTTCGGACCACCCCAGCACGACCACACCCCAGCACGACCCCACTCCAGCACGACCCCACCCCAGCACGACCACGCCCCAGCACGACCACACCCCAACACGACCACACCCCAGCACGACCACACTCCAGCACGACCCCGACCCAGCACGACCCCACCCCAGCACGACCACACCCCAGCACGACCACACCCCAGAACGACCACACCCCAGCCCGACCCCACCCAAGCACGACCCCACCCCAGCACGACCACACCCCAGCACGACCACACCCCAGCACGACCACACCCCAGCCGGACCCCACCCCAGCACGACCCCACCCCAGCAAGACCACACCCCAGCACGACCACACCCCAGCAC